TCCGGGATCTGGTGCGGTGCGGTGCTCGCCTCCCCTGCCCGCCGAGGGGGGCGGCCCCTCCAGCTCCCCGCACGCCTCCGTCGCTGGGGAAGCCTGGGGGCTCCAGAGACCAAGCTGCACCCCTCAGCTTGGCTAAAATTCACTGAACTTCCCCTTGGAGCAATCATTCGATGGGCAGATATTAAAATCCGGATCACTGCCTTGGGGGCAATGAGGGGCTGCATTTTTCTATTTCTGTTTTTGAAGGCAGAACAAGAAAAATGGCATTTGTCAGGTTGAGCTGTCAGGCCAGGGACTCCTCCTCTGGGCTCCACTAATGCGTTTTCCTTCTGGGCTCCCGCTGGCACTAACAGCTTCTGCAGAGCATCTCTGGGCCGGGGACCTTCTCGCTCAAACCCTCCCCTGGCTCCCTGCCCTCCTGAGGGGCTTGCCTGAGGAATGGGATGAGGGGAGCGCTTTTAATTGGGGTCCCTCCTCTCAGCCCCATACTGACTGTCCTAGACCCCAAGGAGGAAGAGCTCCTGGCAACTTCTGGCGTTGCCTTGAGCATCTATGAGCTCAGGGTGCTGCTCAGCAGAGAGGAGGGAGACCCGGAGGACTGTCCCCTTCCCTGTGACACCAGGGTGGCCAGCTGGGACAGGGTGCCCCTTCTGCTCCCAGAGAGCCTGACATGTGGATCAAGAGCAGAGAGCTGAGCCCACACGCCACTAACAGCTCAGCCTGAGCACCAGTTCTCTTGGAGGGACGCCAGCGCTGGGTGGGATGACAAGTTTGGGTTGTGAGGTCAGCCTGGTCTTCACTTCTCACCCTGGGTTCTGCTCTCAGGACCTCACCCTGAAGCTGTGCCTCATCCGGAGCATCTGCATGATCAGCCAAGCCATCTACAACGGTGTGAAGTGCGGGGACTTCATCTTCTCCCGCAAAGCTGAGCTTGTGGCCCAGATGGTGGTAAGAGCGAGCCCTGGAGGGTGGCCTGGCTTGGGGCTGGTCTCGAGGACACTGGGGGAGGTTCCCAACCCACCTTGCTGGGGGTTAAGCGGAGGCGGAGGCTGCTCCATCTCCGGAACTGTGGTCTGGGTGCCTTGTGGGCAGGGTGGGTATGAGTTTGCTCTGCTGAGCCCTGTCCCTGTGTGTTTGCCGGGCCCTTCTGGGGCAGGGTCTGACCTCCCTGGGCCTGCAGACCTGCAGGCTGGGCTCTGCCTGCCCTTGGAGAGTGGGCAAGTCCCAGCAGGGAGCTGAGCGGTGGGAGGATGGCTTGCTGCGAGCAAAGGCTGGCTTGCAGTGAGTGATGGTGCTCCATCTGGGGAGGGGTCTGGAGCCCCAGGCTGCTGGGGAGCGGCTGGGGGAGCTGGGGGGGTTCAGCCTGGAGCAGAGGAGGCTGAGGGGAGCCCT